AAAAGGGGTTCTCACATCCTGATAAACGCTCAATTAGGGTATATCATAGGTTGCATTTTCATAAACCCTTTAAGAGTTTATCATTCAACGGATTTTTTTTTCAGTGTGTGTATCATGAAAAGAAAGCCACGACTAGTTTCGACCTTTCTCAGAGGTCTCATCAGGTAGCTCAAAGAGAAGCAGATCAATCTATATCCCTCCAATACAAATCAATCTGCTAGTCTCAACTCTTGCTTTTCAGCAATCGATGAAGTCGTAATTATTGGTTCAAATTCGAATAATGTGCTTAATCAAATTATAAAAGAAATGCAGAGTTTAATTTCGCCGACGCGTTTCATGTTATTTATTAAAATAATAAAACACTCATCAGGGCTCTGCATTACAATAAAAAGCACACAAAAAAGCAAATTTCTATATAAAGGAAAAGTATTTTCTATAATAGAATCATCATTATATTGATAAACTACATTTTTTAATAGAATTACAATACAATAATTTAAAAAGGGTACGCAATAACAGAAAAAAAGAATTCTATAATTTTAGTATTACAATAAGCAACATTAGAATTTCCAGTAAGTTTCTGACGTGTTAAAAACATTCAAGTATGTGGACACGTATCCAAAATTCTATATTCAGCAGTGCCTTTTCAATTGGTTAATATGTTATTGTCGATTAGAAATAAATTTGTTTATAAGCAAACATAATAAAAGATCAATTATTAATAAATTCAAGAGCTTCAGCTTGTGTCTAAAATGTCCTTGTTGCTTAATAGTTTGAAGATGATACATTGTATAATTAAATTGTTATGACGCAAACTAGCATGGTTTAAGTCATAATTCTATTGTTTTGATAATTCATATCATTCCTTCATTATAGTTTGTATTATCATTTCATTTGCATACTAATATACTCAAAAATTATGGAGATTTTGACATTTTATAATTAGTAATACAAAATGTTTTATTAATAATGTAAAAATTTAGATAACACTATTAAATTCATGTATAGTACTAATTTCACCACTGATTTCAGTAAAAATATTTAATATACTAACATTAAGATAAATTTTTGAAATATCTTCATAATTTAATGCATAAATTGTTTGATAAATTCTTATTATGTGAAAAATAAAAATGCATAAAAAACATGTTGTTACTGCAAGATGCATGATGGAAACATACAATTTCATACAAAAGAAATCAATAGGAAACTTTAAAAGTAACAGATACTATTGAAATCAGTTATTATCAATTATTATCAATTATATTAATTGACATCCACATCTGTAATAATTTGACCCATAAAATATTGTCATACATTATATGTGATATTTACTGTTCGTCAAAGTATATATAATTACATAGTCAAAGCTAGACATCGTTGTAAATTTTTCACATTTCGAGTGCCAAGAATAGGTCTAACTTCATTAATAGGAGATTCCCCAAAATATTTATTCCAAAGTTCATGGAACTTAGCAGGAAAAGTTTTCATACTAGAACAGTATGTAAAATGTACAAACATAAATGATTCATAATCAATATCAACTTTTTCTTTCATGGGTGAATCTATTACTTTTTGTCGATATCTATCATAATTCCAAATTGTTAATGGCTGGTCAATATCACATTTCAAAAGAACATTATTAAACTGTTCTTCAATTAATTTATTCGGATATTTATTAAACAATAAAGTCATATGTAATTTTTCACGTTCATCCAAATATGTTTGATATGTAGAACAATATCGAATTGCCCGAAGTAACATCGTAAAAGGTATATTATTTTTCATATGTAATGGATGAATGCTACTGAATGGCAAATAATAAGGCTCATAAGATGGTTTTTGGTAAACTGTAGTAAATAAAATTCCATCTTGATTTTCCATATATAAATCAAGAAAACTAGTAAAGGAACCGATATTCGCTTTTAATTTGATATTTTCATCAAATTGATTCCACTTCTCGATTTGTTTCAGTAAATGTTGAGTAGGCCAATTAATTACAATAAATAAATCATCAATATACCGAAAAAAGAGTCCTCCGTTTTTTTTTAAATTTGTTTGGCTATTTGTCCTTCAAAGAAAAACATATAACAATTAGTCATAGTCAAAGTTAACGGAGAACCCATAGCTCCACCTCTAATCTGATGATAAAATTGGCCCTCATAAGAAAAATAATTATTTTTCATAGCAAATCGGCTTAATCTATTAATAGTTTCAATTTTTAAACCACCAACTCTTTTGAATTGTAAATAATCTAACTAGGGTGTGGGTGTGGGTGTGGGCGTGGGTGTGGGTGTGTGGGTGTGT